TTCCAAAGAGAAATGTGTCAGATACCAAATTTTATGAAAACCCAAATGCTTTCCAGTCCTGGACTCATCTCCTTTCTCTGTGCCCTACCTGTGCAAGGGATCAGTGAGCACTCTGCAGTCAGAACGTCGTCAGAACAAACATGCCACCATGATACATTTCCGTACTGACTCCTGCCACATTTGCTCTAAATGCAATTTAATTAAAATCATCAGCACAGGGCACATGGAGATCCAGCAAGTGCCAGTGCTGGACAACACCACAGAGAGATGTTCTAACTCTGCTGGCTACCCACATTCCACGCTGGGGATGTTACAGCACCTTCACTGCACAAAAATATATTACAGATTACAGTAGCAGTATTTTTTTGTCTTGGTCCTTTCTGAATTGGAACAGAGTCATACCAAGAAAACAATGATGGTTTCCTTTTGATAATGGGATTACTCCCACTTTCAGCTCAGCAGAACTATTACATGTCAAACTTCCAATGATACAGAGGCTTTAGGTATAGAAAAGCTGACATTTGACAAAAATGGTGCTGCGGTTTTTAGTACAATTATTAGAAATACCTGCAGTTAAATTCTGTAGGTTACAGAAGAACACAGCACCACACCAATATTCACTAACAGAGATCCCAAAGAATGCACAAATTAAAAGCAAGGTGCCAAATAGTTTCATAAAATCCACTTGAAAAAACAATATCAGATTTCTTGTATTAAGAAATCGATTTTTAAATGATCTTACAAAATTTCTCTTGGACTAGTTATATGTTGTTGTTGCTACCTCCAGACACAACCCTGCAAATTGTTTTAAATTGTGATTAAAATACCAAACAACTGTAAGATTTTATCAGCCAGTAATACCACTTAGTGTGTTGGAAAGATAACATGAAAGGTCATCAGAAGCATTATGCAAACAAAACAAGCTATTTTAGCTCCACTAAAATTCAAAATACAAGCAAGTAAAGGAAATGACAAAAACAATTGATACATATTAACATAACTTTACAAACAGTGGAGGATTAAGGAGAGGGAGAAAAAAAAGAACCCAAAGCAATTTAAAATGCATGTCTGAGAGACTCTCTAAAAACAGAAAGAAATGAACCAAACATTTCATTTTGTTCACCTGTGACCAAAAAGAAAAAAAAAAAAGACTGTTTTGATGGTCATGGAACCTAAAAAAAGTGAAAAATTTTGCTTATCTCCCTTTCTGTGTTTGTATTTTATCTTCTAGATAAGCCTTCCTTGCAGCCAAGTTAAAAAGTTTTATGATTGTTCTTTGAGCCTTTTTAAGTTGGTTCGGGTTATTTTCTCGGCTTTCAGACAAAGCTTTGTATTCTGCCCTGTCTCTACCTCAGCTCATTTATCTTCTGTGACTTCAGAGGAATCTGCACACCGGAGCCTGCTTTGCTTTGTTTCTGCACTGCAGTTTAGCCTTTTGATTCCTCCTGCTTGCCTCAGTAACACTGGATTTGCTAATGTTTGCCTTTAATTCCAACAGCAATCAAGCAATTGAATGATTTTCATTGCAGGAAGTCAACATTTTCTTGCCCACCCATATTTGTGATATTCGATGTAATGTTCAAAGTAGCTGTAACTGCAGCACTTAAGTAAGTTCAAGATAAAAGCTGTGCATTTCCTTTACTTGTGTATAGATGAAGCCATGGGAATATCAGCAAAGCTTCAAGCTAATGCTCTCCAACTCTGCTATGGAGGGGAAAGGTTAATGAACACTTCTCTCATGTCTCTCTTCTCCATCTTGTCCCAATAGAATTTTCTTCAGATTTGAACTACACATCAGAACAGAGCAGATGCCAAGAACTAAAAGATTACTTATTAATTTACAATTACAAGCCCTAGTTCTACAGCCTCAGTGTGCACAAACTGTGTAAGATCCTGGGAGTTTCACATCTCAAGAACTGCATTAAATGTCAAATTTGCTTATAAAAATCAATTCAACAACAACTTTGGCTTGGAATTCCATACTCATAGTTTCACACCTTGACACGGGTATTCTGATTTATGTTTTACTTAATACTAATATAAGAGTAACAGAATAACATGTTGCTCCAAATTCCCCCTGAAACTAGGCCAGAAACCCATGAATATAATTCTGTGATAAAGAGCAGAAGCCAGTCCAGTGATTACCATTCTCTTTAGGTAATTGTCAGAACATGGCATGATTCTGTAGCAGTAACCTTGTCTTCATTCGGTTGCTGGAAGACAGGTTTTAATTAGCCCATCTTTCATTATTGCTGGGGAACTTTCTGTGGTCATTTGCTCTTCCCTTGCAGAGAAGCATTTCAGTGCCTGAGCTCTTGTACACCTCCATGTCTGGTACTCACCTCTGCCCACCTCATCCCTTTACACCACTCTACCTCAGCCATGGCTTGCAATTTCACCCACTTAAAGAGGGCTCATGGAGAACTCAGTTTAGGATCACACCCAGCTCTCTGGTTGTTACCTTCAGCAAATTATTCTCAGTTCTAAAGCATTTTATTTATGAAACATTTTCTTAAAAACTAATGTAAAGTGGAAACCTTTTGTTTAAAGGCAGCAAGCCAGAAGTGCACCCCTGTGATGCAATTTACAACAAAACTGGTGAAGGACAGAACCTCAGCCAGCACAGAGCAGCTCCCACTGGGACCGGTGGAGCCACATTAATTTGTGCCCACTCACCAGTTCATCCTTAGTTTTTCAACCCAATGCACAAGACTTAACCTTTGGATTCGTTGTCTTTTCTATTAGATTTTACCAATATTACTGAACGGGACTGCCTTGGCTTGTCTGGCCCAGCTGCTGAGCCAATCGTGTTTTGCACCCCAGAGACGCTCTGGCTCGCTGTGAGCACGTGGGGACAAGTCCAGGCACGTCCTGAGCCCCAGCGCTTATGGCTGCAGCTTGCTGTTGAAGAGGGTCACTCCTCAGGCCTCCCTGAGCTGGAGAAACCTTTAAGGTGATGGTGAAGGAAGGAGTGGGTCCTGATGGAGAGTTTTTAATTCAGATTTTTTATTCTGGGCTGTGTTATGAATAAAAAGTTGCCCATTTATTTCAGGCCGCATGGCCTCTGAATCCTGCAACAACTCCAAAGCACTCCCGACTGCCCGGTGTGCTTGCCTTTTTACCTGGGCAGAGGGGCAGGGGAGGGGACCCAGGGAGCACCAGCCAGGCACAGGGGGAGGGGGTCTCAGGTGAGAGGGACACCTGGGTGGGCCAATGGCCCCCCAGGGGTGGAGAGCATCCTTTGAACCTGCCAATCGCTCCATGCTCCCCTGGCGTTTCTGGGTTGATAGGCAGTGCCCAGCAGGGGCCAAGGGTGGGGAAAGGAGAGGTGACTGACACCCCACCTGGGAAGGAAACTTCAGGGGAGGGACCGGGGAAACTGAGGCACACCATGACAACACACCACAACACTTTTCTGTAAATGAAATGTTTCCTTTTATAGGGAATCTTATATATTGACAAAACACATAACAATAATTCAAACTCTAGAAAGAGAAGCTACTACTTTCCAGAAAAAACTTTATAAGTTTAGCAAACGTGGTCAGCCAACGTAAGTGGTCCATAAAGCACAGGATGTCAGTGTCATAAAGTTTTTTAAAATGCACCTTCGTCTGTCAAAGGGAGTTGGGGAATTTATTTTTCTACTGAGTTCTAGATCCTTTTGTAAGAGAGATTATTTATACACAAATTAGTTCATTTCAAAACTGTTAATCTGGCTTTTCATCATTATATAATCCCACAGCTTTTAAAAGTTAAGCACCTACAGTCTGGACTCCTTATGTATAAGAAATTGCCTGCGTAATCTTTGTCCAACACTCTCCCTGTTTTAAAAAATGACAGAAGTCACCCTGCCACTAACAATAATAGTTCCCTAATATCTCAAATTGCAAGCTGTAGTCTATGAAAAATGAAACTTTATATGAACAGAGTAGGACCAATGACAAACACGGAAATGTCATGGAGAAATGCACAAGCACACACAATTTCAGTTCAGTTTCAGCATTTCCCACACTGCCACTTTATCCCCCTGAAGTTAAACCTCAGAAGTGCAAACTCTGCTCCCAGTGAGAAACCAAAGCCCCAAAGTCAAAACCATCTCATGGCCAGCTTTCAGCAAGGGCAACAAAAGATCTGAAGTACATCTCATGGCCTCTGTGCAGGAGTGAAGCTTCATCGTTTGCATGTGCATTTCACACAGCAGAGCTTAAAAATGCATTCCACAGTCCTATTTATTTTTTACCATAATGTCAGACCAGTGGAAAATTTGTGTTTCCTTTCATCAGTACGAAAACCAGGATGTTTGTGGTGAACTCTAAACCTAACTGGTGACATTTTGATGTCTCAAGAAACTGGATTTTATATGACTAAGAATTAAAGAAGCAAATTATTTAAAACTCTCTGGACATCACTTTTTGCAAAATCTATTTAAAACACTTTTTATGACACTGGTGTATTTTGCAAAATGTTCCATAGCTGATGTAGAAGGAGATGACTTTGTGAAGCCATCGGATACAGAGAAAGCTGAGCTTTATGAAAGGATTAAGATGACTGTCTTTGCAAACACGCTGTGTGAAACTCCACGTAGAAAGGGCTCACACATCAGGAAGTGATGGAAGAGACTATCAGTTCTAGAAAATGGTACTAATTGGCGCAGACTGCTGCTCAGCCAAGGCCGTGTTAAATTCCTGAAAGAACAAAGACTTAACAGAATTATGAACAGTGTTTTCTTACATAAAAGAACAAAAAATGGGGGGGTTACACAGTAGAGAGGGACGTAGAGTAGGGGCTGCAGGAAGTGCCTTGTGAGGACCCCCGCCGATGGGGAAAGCAAGAGGGTGATGTGGATGGGAAATTAGGGCAAAAATGGGGCTGTGCCCCCCAGCCAGGTGAAAGATCCCACGCGAAATGCCCCATGGCCTCTCTCTTTATTTCAATGAAGTTACAGGACTCCTCTGTCCCCTTTTTCGGACACAAACCTCCGGCGCTGTGAACTTTCCCACATGTTCATTACTCCGCGCCTCCCAAGTCGACCTTCCTCACGCTGTCAGTACAACCCTGGCGCCGCAGGGCCCACCCTCAGCAACAGCGGGAAGCCGAAAGTTTGGGAGCTCACCTTCAGGTGACAATAAACACACTGCGGTAAGGAGGTGAGGCTGCCGCTGGGCAGCGGCGCTGGGGGAGGCCGGCCCCGAGCCTGCCCCGAGCCTGCCCCGCAGAGCTGCCAACCGCGGGGGCCCCGCTTGTCCTGCGGTAAGCACGGAAGGACGGACGGAGGGACCGGAGGAAGGGAGGAGGGGAGGAGCGGCCGGACCCCGCCGGGAGTCGGGAGCGGCTGCGGGCTCGGGCGGGGGCGCGGAGCGGAGCGGGCTCTGAGGGCACTGCGGGTAGGCCTCAAACCCCGGCCGGGCTGCTGGGCCGGCCACGCCACGCACCCGACAAACGCTTATCCACCACGGTATATAATATATGTGTGTGTGTGTGTGTGCGTATGAGTTTAAAACAGAATGGTTTTTTTTCCATTCTCCCCCCTCCCTCCCCCAACACCTAGCCAAGTGCAGAGAGAGTTAGAGGACAACACAAATACGGTTACTTTTTATTTATTTGAATCCATCTGGCTTTCACCGCGTAACTTACTCGTCTTTTCCCCGGCTTTAAGGGGGTGCAGCAGGTGCTGTTTGATTTTATAAACAAAGCACGGTGTTTGTTTTCTTTAAGCTTTGTAGCAATGCAGTCCACGGGAGCTCATTTTCCAGGTGTGATTTGCTACTGAAATCTGGTTCCCCTGTGTGATTGTACCAGTAAACTGCCTTCGTGCCTTTAACTTCAGAAATGCGAATTTTAGAATTTAGCCTATCTATGACAACTAATTAGCATTCAGATGATTTCAAAGACCTTTGAGAAGTCCAGAGCTGTGCGTAGCACAGAGGACACAACAGGTGACAGTCCTGTCAGAGGGCAATTTGAGCTTGTGCCTTTTAAAATAATTTAATGAGACAAACTGGATTTCATAGCAGGGATGATTTCTGAGGATTTAATTCATACAGTGTTCCAGTCACTGCTGCTGCACCTGGAGCAGGTGTAGCTGTCAAAGCCCAGCTCGTGCCCGGCCCAGCCGGTGCCACTGGAGACCTGCCTCAGTGTCAGCAGCCAGCCTCGCCGGCGCACTGCAATTACCACTCAGATGCCTGTGTGCATGTCACTCTGCTCACTAAGCACTGTGCTGCTTTTTTTTTTTTTTTTTTCCTGACCAATAATTAGCAGAAATGAAGAAATTGGCCATGCAGGGTCACAAAGTATAATGGGGAACTTCAAAAACATAAGAAATGCCATCCAGCCCAGTGATCTGGCACAGGCAGGTCTTGCTCTGTGTTCTGGAAATCCTGCCTTATGCCATGGGTGCTGTATATAATTATTTTGCATCTGAGTGTTCTGCTAGGGGTTTCATTAACTTGCTGCCTTGTAAAACCAGCTTTATAAGAGCTGATTTTCATGATTGGAGAGGTTTTCTTTACCACTTAAATTTATCTTCCATTTGTGTGTGAGCTCAGTTTCTGAAATTTGCCTTAGGATATGCTAAGTGTGTTTTGCTATTTGAAAGAAAATTACGGAAGTGTTGATAGACAAAAAATCATTCTGAATGGCTTCTCAACAGGAACTCTTGAGGTTTTAGCAAGAGTTTGTTTTGACAGATAAGTTGGTGCTTTCACTAAATCAACAGTTTGTTTGCTTAAAAATAGGCTCCCAGAGTTGCAGTTCTGCGTGAATCCTCTTTTTCTGTAAATCAGTATATTGTGCATTGTGGATGACTGACTCGTACATTCAAACAGAAGGAGGACTTAGAATAGTTTAGACAATTCTTCTGTAGAAGAAGAAAAAGCTTATTTATTAGTGTGATATGGGCACAAAGAATAGGGAGGAAGCTGAGTGTCAGATGTTGAGTGATCACTAGGATTATTGGAGCAGTAATTATAAAGATCATACTGCAGGAAATACGAGATACAGGAGATGATTGTATTCTCTTGAGTTGTGGAAATGCTGCAAAACTGTGCAGGGAGTGGTGTTGTGTGAGGCCAGTGAGATCCAGCACTACCCAGCAAGCACTGGGTACGAGGTGCTTGCCAGTCTAGTCCTTTTTTACTTATTTTCTGCATGGTTCTGGGTTAGTGGAGTATCACTGGCCTTGTCACTAGATGAAACTGTTGCAGAGCTCTATGTCTAAGTATTATCAAGTGTTTTATGAGCAGTTAGAATATAATTAATGCCTTTTGTACAAAATGGCATTATTTCATTATTTTCCCAAATACAGAAAAATAACATTAAGGACATTATGCTGTTGTTGTCTTTTCATGTTTGCTGTTTAAGGACAGCAGAAAATCTTAAATAACCTCAGAATATTTAGTAAATGCACAAATAGGGATGTTAAAAATATGGGCTTTTACTGGTGATGTGCAGGAGTAGTGGTTTCTGCATTCCATGTTGCTGAGTTGCTGTATTCCTTGTTGTTGTTCAGGCAATGAGCGGCCTGTAAGGGTGATTATTTTGCAGGATGATTAAGAACGTTAATAACATATAATGTTCTTAAGAATACTAAGAAAAATATTTAGGATATTGTGGGAGTATCTCTGTGGATAATTTATTGGTTGGACTCTGCAGCAACTCACAGACTTAAAAAAATGTATTCTTGACTTGAATTCACAGGCACTGTTTTGTGTGTATTGAGAATATAATCTTTGTAACCTTGTGCTAAGCAATAATTCTGCTCAAATTTTCAGAGTACAAAATTGTTGAAGGCAATGCCGTGTTCATTATTAACTGGAGGTTCAATATTTGCATGTATTTCAGACTGCTTGAGTCCTGTGCTCAATTTATTATTTATATTTGTTGTGCTTTGTCAGCGTGTGCTTTTTGTGGTGAATTTTCTTCTTTAGACCCTTTAAACTGCCAATTCCCTGTAGCAGTGGAGCAGAAAGAGTTAGGATTGGAAACTGAAAACAGAGAAGTAGTTTCATTCAGAAGAAAAAACCCATTCCAAGTAAATGGAGCCATAAGTCACATTTAGGTTGATTTTAGTGATGTAGCTGATAGAGAGGTTTTGTTGGTTCTTCTGTGGAAGGGAATACAGCCTGAAATAAAGTAATGGCAAGGGTGAAGTGTGCTGTGATTTGAAGGATTATAATCTCAGGAGAGGAGACACTTCTGCTGAGGCTGCTTTCTCTGGTTGCCACCAGGGCGCTTGGAATTTTGGCCACAGGCAGTTTTCTGCGAGGTGACTTCTTCACAGAGGACTTTTTGTTTTGCTGGGAAAATGGTTGCCTGGACAGAGAGGAAGAAGAAATAATGAGCAGGCCTATCTCAGCAAAACCCCCTGTGCATTGTTAAAGGCAGCATTTGCTGCGTTTTGAGCAACAAATTCTGTGTTACATGTGAAAAAGCCCAGATAATTTTTATAGGCTTGGATGAGTTCTGCTCTGGTGAATCCTGCAGTGAGGAGGGGAGCAGATCTTGGGATTTCTCTAAAGGTGCAATGGGACTTGTGTTCTCTGACTAAAAGTCTGGTGTGGGGATTGGAAGGAGCAGCTTCATAGTTCTGATACGGTGAATTTGACTGGAAATTATGTATCCTGTCGTGGCTTTCAGTGTAAGTTAAATAAATGGGGTCCACCTGAATCACTGGCTTTAAACTTTCCCCAGTGTTTGATTTCTCAAGGGAGCTTAGCTGAAAAATCAGTTCACTCTCTTTTTTTTCTGTTACTTTGAGTGATGTTCTGCACTGCTTGCCCAGGGCTGCTGGAACACGGGCCCAGAGCAGGGCACACAGACTTTGTCTTTAAACTTTCCCCAGTGTTTGATTTCTCAAGGGAGCTTAACTGAAAAATCAGTTCTCTCTCTTTTTTTCTGTTACTTTGAGTGATGTTGTAATGATTTGAAACCCCTCAGGTAATTAATACTAGCTGAGATAGCAACTGAATCAGAAAGCTTTGTTTCAAATACTAAAAGTTGTCCTAGACCTGTTGAATAAGTGGAGGGTGCACCATATTTGGGGATAGTAAAAATAGAAACACTGATTAAAAAAAAATATGGGGTGTTTGTGAGTTTATAGATGTATATAATACCTTGTGAGATGCTTTTTCATGACATGTTTATTTACTGTTGGTACAATCTTGGTTTGTTGTGGGGTTTTTTTTCTGCTTTCTTTTTTGGTTTTGTTTTGTTTGGTTTTTTTGTGGTGGTGGTGGTTTGATTTTCGAGTTTCCATTGTCAGTACTGTCAAGTTATCACTAAAAGTCACAGGTTGAAGTCTTTCCCTGGAGTTTCCAGGGTATAAATGAGTAAGGGCTGCAATGAAACTGTCCAACACCTTTGTTTCAGGCGAGAAATAGAATAGTCTGTAGAATTAAAAGCAAAGCAAAGGAAATCATTCAGTTGAGATGGCAAATAAAGGAACAGCTATGGCAATATAAACTGCCCTTGATCAGAACAGGAGGGAGCACAGCAGAGTGTGGGCCAGCAATGAGAGCGCCATCCAGATGCTGATGTTTTGCTCAGTTTCAGGGCAGAAACACCTTCCCCCGTCCAATGGAGATACTTTTATAGAATTGCTGATACTGAACAAAAGAACATTTTTGGTTTTTCCTGACTAAAGAAGCTGTACATTTTGCATACAGTTTTCATGTGTGAGTTTTTGTGTTTGCATAGGAACAGTAAACCAGAGGAGGGAGCAGAGTGCAGTGAAAGGAGCTTCCTCCAGCTGCTCCCATCACAGTCCATAAAACTGTTGCTGTCTTTCAGTGGCTCTAGAGCCAGCAAGTCTTTTCTCCCCAGTATGTCTCCCCAAGACATATGATGGAAGGTATGAGAAATGTGGAAAGTAGAATAAAAACATTATAAAACAGTTGTATGCAGTACTAGATGCTGGAGGTACAGATAGCACTTAATGCTTCAAAGGACTTTTTCAGTAAAAATGTTCAAATGTCAAAGGTTCAGAAAGTCACAGATGACAATATTAACACTTGTTGCTTGGTGCACTGAGTGCTGTTCCGTGGTACAGTCCCAGTCTTCAGGTTGTAAATCCTCCATAAATGAACTGATCATATTGGCAGCTATAAACCATCGACCTGGCATGGATTTAACCATTATTATTAAATTTTTCTAAGTCAGAGAAAGAGGGGCAAAAAAGGGGCTGTAAGAACTGGGAACAGTAAGAGGTGGGCTCTGAGCTACAGCTACATTGCAGAAGGAGAATGAGATTTGGCTGATCAGAACACACAATCTGTGCTGGGTTTGGTCTGTTACCCCAAGACTGGGTTCTGAAGTTTGGGATGCAGGTGTCTCCTGCAGGAAGCTGTTCTGTTTGATGGGAAGGGCTGGAGGCCAAGGAAGGGAGGAGAGTGATGTTTGTATGATACACAGGTATGAGCAATGTAGAGATTTCAAATTCTAGGAAAAGACTTTGAATTTGCAGACATGGATGTGGGACACAACTGTTTTTATCATGCCAGTGGTATTCTGGATTAGTTTTAAAAAGAGTTATGCATATAAATAGCTCCAAGCCCAGTGGATTTAAACTGATTTTTGCTACATTTTAGTAGATGACTGACAGTTTAACCAAATTATATCAGGGTTGTTTGTAAACACCCCTGCAAGGCTCCTCACAGCAAATCTCCCTACGCATTCCTCCTGTTCACAGCTTTTTAATGCCCTGGGGATTTCCTGACACAGCTGTGCTTCCTCTTCCCTGCTGCTCCCTGTTGTTGGTGCATTGTCCATTGCTCTGCAGCCAGCAGAGGAACCACACAGGCCAGTGCTGATAATCTGGCTGGAAGTGTTTGCCAGCTGGCTGACCCCAGTGCTGCCTGCCCAGTTTATAGAAGTCACACCTTAGGATGGGTTGTTGCATGTGAGGTTTTGTCACGTGTTGCAAAGGTTCATTGAAAAAAGTTATTTCTTAAAAAAAAATTTGCTTTTGTAGCAGGTCTGTGGGTTCCGACGTTATCAATGGCCATGAAGACAAAAAAACCCTTTCTCTCTAATACAAGTTAAAAATGAAGTAAAAAAAATTGTCAGGTTTTAGTAATAGGAATGTAAATTTCTAGAAGTATGTTGTAGCTGTGTCTGTGTGTGGGGAAGCAGAATGTATTGGTGTTCTCCTAGTTAATATTCAGGAACAGCTGTGTTCCTAAGCAGGCAGGGGCTGAATGCTGGAACAGGACTGATCTCTGGGCATTGCACTGGTGCTCCAGGAACACCCAGTCCTGGAAACAGCTCCTTTTAGTTCACGAACCAAGGGCAGACTCCTCTTTCTCAAGTTTGTCTTTTGTTTTAATTTTTTTCTTCAGGGAGGAGCTGTAATGTTTTGCTGTCAGGATGAGGAGCAGGATCCCTGTCATCCTCCTGGCCTGTGGCTCCTTTAACCCCACCACCAACATGCACATGCGTTTGTTTGAGCTGGCCAGAGACCACCTGCATCAGACAGGTCAGTGAGGCCTGGGAAAAGCAAGAAAGAGTTTTAATACGCACACAGATCAGCTCTTACTTTACAGCTGGGTTCATTTTCATATTTTTTACTGATATTAATGTAAAGCTTTCATGGGATATTTAATATAGAAAGTCTGGTGTTACCTCAGTGTATAAGCAAGTATAATGAGTGCTCATGCAAAGAGAGTAAAAGTTTTATCAGCAGTTTGAGAATCCTGCTCATGGCACTGGCTGAACCTTGTGAAATAATACGGTTCATAATTTTGAAACTTAGGAAAACCTTTTATGTTCCAATTCCATGCTTTTCTGATACAATGTATTTCAATATGAAGAAGAGTTCCAGGTAGCAGTTTTGACAGCCGGGGGAAATTGGAGAAAAGATGAAACGTTAATTATTCATTATCTGTCTTCACTACGAGGCACTTTATCTATCCTAAAAAAAGATCAGAAAAGCGAGATGCCAGAGGCTAGAATGTTTTGGCAACAAAAGAGCAAGGTGGTAACATCAGGAATTTAAGAAAGAATCAGAAATGCTCACTGGAAAGCCTTGAACTCTAAGCTTGAGCAGCTCCTTAGTTGCTCAGGGATGTATTTTTTTTTTTTTTTTTCATCTGCAGCTAAAATATGCAGTTATGTCTCTGGAAGTGGTTGGGAGGGAATCATTATTTGTTGGAATCTGACAAAGAAGATCCTAGGGAGGTGGTTCAGTAGGAACCTAAACAGCAAATAATAGTAAAAGGAATTTGGCTGTCAAATTGAGCAGGGGGAGAGAACCTGGGAACCCACTGATACCAGTAAAAGCAGCAGCTGCATACTCAGAATATCCTGTGAGGAAACTTTGACTGTCATGGGGAAGAATTACAGAGCTGGCTCTGAGAGCAGCCTCTACAAGTCTCTGTTTTCCTAGAACTAAAATTATTTTGTTGCCCCTGCAGGACTAGGAATAAAAAAATTAAAAAGCAATTTTAATTTACTTTTTCCACTGTAGTTTTATAACTGATTCTGCTGCCCAGGTATGCAAAGAGTAGAAAGGTAATATGAGACCAAATGGTAATTCTGTTTAAGTCATAAATTGTAGTCCAGTAACATTTCTCTTTGTCTTTAAAGAAGGACTGAACTGGGAAATTAATTATTATTCTGTCTGAATCAATTTAATGTCTGGTCTGCTCCAGGGTCAGTTTAGAAAGACTCCACCCTATACTCAGGGTAGTTTGCTTAAAATCTAGTAATAATAATATGCAAAATGAAATTTTGAAAGGTTGAAATGAAAATTGTGCATTAAATTACACCTGATGCCAATGCCTAGTTCGGGGTAGGGTATGACTTGCCTTTTGGCTTCTCATTTTAATTTCTGAAGCCTTACACGTACAAGGACTTTCTGCATTGGATAATCCTTCTTTGGTGTCGGGGTTGCCTACAGCGTTGTCTTTGCACTTTCTGAAAGCTTAAACCAGCATGGCAGCAAAGTCAGAGCCCTCCGTTTGCCTGCAGAAGCTTTACCCATCCCGAGCAGAGGTGGCTGCATCTGCAGAACTCCAAGAGCAGCTGTATGTGTTTGTACTGTGCTTATGGGTGTATGTGTTTGTATGTGTGGGTACTCCAACCCCATCTGTGGCCCCTCCCCGACAGGGAACGCACTTTCTCAAGCTGAAGGGGTTGGCAGCATTCTATAAAAATGACTGATTCTGGATGCCTCTTTTATAGCAGAACCATTCCTACCCAGGAAATTTATTGGTCATTTTCTCATGGCTTCAGCCCTGTTTCCACTTCTGGGGTTAGCAGGGAAGGAGAGGAGAAATTGGAGCTTATTTGCTGAGAAGCAACTGGAGAGCGGGGCTTGAGGCAGCAGTGATTCCCTTTCTGAGGGAACAGTGCATCTTGGAGCTCATGTCCACACTGGATGCCAGAAACGAGTGAGCAATTATTTAATTAGTGTGAGGGACGTGTTTCCTAGGCTTGGGAATGGCTTCATCCCCCTGCTGCTTTAGTAGTGCTGCTCCATCACAAATCAGGCTGAAATGATGAGTTGGGCTATGGCTTGGCTGGAGTTCAGTCACCAATCCTGGAAGTGTTCACAGGACGTGCAGATGTGGCACTTGGGGACATGTTCTAGTGCTTGGACTCAGTGATCTTAGAGGGCTTTTCCAACCTCAATGGTTCCAGGATTCTGTGACTTCAGAGGCAGGTTTCACTGCCATGAATGTGACAATCCCTGATGTGCATCCTGACTGACGTCTCCAGTAATTCTGTCTGTCAGCTTTTTGTACATCACGTCAGTTTCTAGTGCTGCCTAATCTTATTTTTCATACATCCCTATTTTAAGTAAGACATTTTATTGGGTTTCTTTAAGTGCAGTTTCATTGCCACATGTCAAGTAATTCATCCTTTTTCAGTTAATATCAGCCAATAAATCTTGTCATGCTACCTTTTAAATACAACACACATAGCTGTGTGTGCCTGAATGACTCAAATCATTCTCTTTGTCTGGATTTTCTGTCTACTCATTTGAATCTGGCGCTTTACACGTCCTCAGACAAAGCTAAAATTTTCCAATATTCAGTCCCTTGTTTTAAAATTGTTTTTTGAAACTTGCAGTGACTGTGGCAGATGGCTTTAGAGTCCATGAATACCTAATACCAAGCACTTTTACTTCTCTGTGACTGTATTCCTCATTTGACCATAAAGACCAAAGAAATAGTACTAGAATCAATCTATCTGAGATATTTTTAATCTTGTTTCCCAACTGTTGCCAGTGGAGAATACTTACATCCCCAAGTTTCCAAGTGAGACCAAAAGCGATGTAGGTCAAAGGAGGAGGGTGTGAAAGACAAGATGTTTTGTCTGTGGCAAGACAAATGCCAGGGGAAGGTGAAGGATAATTAGTTCTTGTCTTATGAAAACTGGGGAAAATGGGACACCATTACTGGGTTGCTATCACAGTCTGGCTTGCTGTGACCTCCCTGGTCCAGCCAGGGAGAACGTGGCAAAAACAGAGGGATGGGAATGATGGACTTGCCCAAAGATAAAGAACTTCAATAGCAATATAACGAACATAGAAACCTCATCATCTCAGGGGCAAGATCCAAAGACAGGGGGGCCTGGGCAACATAACAAGAACATACAGGGGTATTCTGAGGGTGAGGGTCCAATCACCAACGCAAGCTCAGAACACGACCTTGAACGTGACAGGTTCTGAACTGAGAACAAGAGCCAGAAACATGACCTAATTTAGAATAGTTCCATCAACATCCATTAACACACTGACTCCCATGAGCACACTCTTCTCGCCATGACCTGACCAGGAATCTCCCTTTCAGTATCCCACTTCCCGTGGTCTCAGGTTGATGCCTCCTGTATGTGCTACCGAGGCTAAACCACTGCTCATCCCAGCTGGCTGCATTCCTAGTTTCTGTCAAATGCATTCCTGTTCACTGGGTAGGGTAACACCAGGAAGCTGCAGAGCTTCTCTTGGGGGATTTTCCCTTGACACTGAGAGGAAAATGAGTAGTGAGCAAGACTTAAATGTATAGAAGTGTTTCATTTATTTGCTTTTCTGTAGTGGTTATTTACTTTTGTTATTTACTTCTGGCATAATTTCTTTCAGTGAATTCCAGACTTACTACCAGAAGAAATTAATCTTCAGAAGCCCCACCAAAATACACAAACAATTCTGTATGAAATTGGCATTTGATACATTTGCTTTAGTATTAATAAGCTAATTAAGCATTATGATTTGTGTTAGTGTTGGTGACAATTTACAGTGACACCTTGATAACAGAAAACTAAGTAACAATTTTCCTTAATAATCTCCTTTAACATGTTTGAGGGACAGTCTTTGTTTCATTCCTTTTGTTATATTTAGTTTTCTGAGCACTAGCTAGTCCTCCTAAACAGTTCTTAGATAATACAAATTCATAGCAAGAGGAACTTTTTTGCTGCTTTTGTTAGGTGTATTTTGAAAAACAAAGCCACTTGAGGGCCTGGAGAACTTTTACACATATTTAGGACAAGGAATAATAACAAACTACATGATGAAAACAAATAGAATTCCAGAGAAATAGAATTTGAAGATAATTCTGGACCAAGGAAGGTATGAAACAACCTGTAATAATTTATGGGAAAGAAAAGATAATTGCAATGGACATTTATAAAAGGCCAGGGTGACAGAATTTAATGATTTCCTCTTCACATGCCTGCAAAAACTGAGGGGTATATTTGAACAGGTGAACTTTTAAATTACTGAATGGGAAACAAGTTATTTAGAGCCAGTAATAAAATTATTTCCTATATTTTGACAGCTAAAGCTTGTGTTTCTGTGTGGAAGGCTCTCATGCATCCTGTTTGCACAGTGCTGGATTACTCCATTGTGAATCTTCTCAAGCTATTCCTGTGTTTGACTCTCTGAAGTTACCAACTTTGCTTTTTCTCTTCCAGTTGGTTTCATTTCTGCTTGGGAACAAGCTGATATGGCACCAGAAGCTCTTATCTCATCCTGTTTATGCAGCTCTAGGGCAGATTAGAGACTGAAATCTTTCCATCTCTCAAGGATGTGGCAGACCCATATGCTTGGTTAGCATGAGCTCACAGAAATATTATTTTTCATTTAATATGTTAATATAAGTTATAAGGGAAGAACTTACATCCATAGAAATGTAAAGAAACTGAAACATGGCAAATAAAATCACCATGTAGGAAAAACCTTTTAATAAGGTTAATGTAATAGTGAATTCAAACTGCAGTTTTCTTCCCTTTAAACAGGAAATGAATTTAAACTGTAATTTCTTTCCCTTTAAATGACAACTTGTTATAGACCTGTATAATACCAGAGTACAAGAGAATAATTGTTGTTCATAAATCAAGTGGAATTATTTCCAATTTCAAATCAAGAGATGGACTTAATTATATACACGTCTTTGCATGATTCTGGAAAATTTTATCTTGCTCATTTTGCCTGTAATGAGAATATTTTAAAACAGAGGATGGTTTGAACTGACATCTTAAGAGGATGTAAATCTCATTGAATCTTACTGCTGGCTTTTTAAGTCCGATTCGGTAGAGTTCTTTTGAAAATTTTATTACATCAAAATAAATGTGACATTGCTAGAGTGACATTTTCATGTTGGAATATTAAATATTGTCATGTACCAGTATCAGAAATGTCAAGGGTGTTGTTTTCCTTACAAAGCAATAAAGGTAGCATACTGCATTGAAGTTTCTTTGTTAAAATAATTGAATTAGAAAAAAAGGAAGAGGATTTTTTTCTTTCTTCAGTATCATATTTATCATAGTTATTTAAAATGCATGTACTACATTAGAAATAATTTTGTTCATTTCTGTTCAGTTGAAACACTCTTCCTCTCTTCTCAATTTCTCGAGGCTTGCAGCTTGTGTTGGTGCTTTATTTTTGTTTCCTGGTTTGGGGCCAGAACTGCAAAATCTAACCAGTCTGTTGTGTTAATGATTATGTTGTGTTACAGGGATAGAAAACCAAGGGCATATTGTCAAATGTATTTAACATGGTCAGCCAGATAGAAAGGCATTTAGTGGCTGCTGAGCTGATGTGTGGAGCACAGTACTTCAAGTTTCGTTTTAGACTCCATTAGCCCCATCTTTGTGCTTGAATCTTCTGATTTTTCTGAATCACATCTATCAGAACTGCAGTAATATGCTGTAATTCATGCTTTAAGACAAAAAAGGCACAATGATTCTGATAAATAACAATTATCAGATATCTGAGAACAAAGAAGTGGTCAGTGAAGTCATTCTTTGCTCTGGCTATATCAAAGCTGTACTAACTGGACTATGAAACTTAATTCTATCTAACAGTTTTGATAGTTTGCAACATCAATTATGACTATGTCTACATGGTTTCAAACTGTCTGTTTACTCAGCTTTCCTTTTTGGGTCATTTATTAGGATAAACATGATAGTAATTGTGAGCAGTCCACAGAGGAACAAAACATCTGCATTTTAATTTTGTAATTGCTGGGAATGGATTAATAACAAAACCCAAATCAAGTTGTTCATAGCATCTCAAAACTTTGACTTTAACCATGGAAGTTACCCTTTTAAGAGGTTGGACTAGGTCAGCTCCCAAGGCCCTATCCACCCTAATTTTTCAAGATTCTGTGAAGAGGACTTAATTTTCATTTTTTTCTTTTGTTTTTTTCCCAAAGGAAGATATCAGGTGATTGAAGGCATAATGTCTCCTGTCAGTGATTGCTATGGGAAGAAAGGCTTGGTGTCAGCAAGGCACCGGGTGGCAATGGCCAAACTGGCCCTGGAGACTTCTGACTGGATCCGGGTGGATCCCTGGGAGAGCGAGCAGGACACATGGACAGAGACAGTCAAAGTATTAAGGTGATTACATTTTCTTCTTTCTGTCTTTATGAAATTCCTGACTGCCAAAAATCTGCCAGGCTGCCATGTCAATGCACAGAACTTGGCTCCTCTTAAAACACCCAGGCAAATCAGGACTCCCCACCAGGAATCTTTCATTTGCTTTGCCCAGACCTGCACAATAACCATGGTGCTGCCCTCGTGTCCTTCAAATAGCTGGATGCATGTGGACAGCTGTGGCAGTGGGGGTTTGAAGTTTAGTCTCTCCCTGATTGTGGCAGTGAAGTTTGGAAGATTGTATGTTTAGTCTCTGTCTCCACCTGTCTTCCCACCTTTTCTCCTTGGCAGTTATGATAATTCCAGATTCTTCCCTGTCTATCCTCCAAAATCCTGCCCCTGCAGCTTGTCTGTCATAATTTGCTACACCCGTTTGTCTAGAAGATTCGCTGTCAGTTGTGATATTTCCCTTCTGTCACTGGTATGTACCTTTCCCGCTCTATTTTATGTTTACATTTGTCCCCCCAGACCCCTCCTATCTAGCCCTTGATGCATTAGTCGGTCTCCTCCCGGGAATCCGCCCCCCTTCATAAAAGCCGCTGTTTTCCTTTGTTTCCCGCTCTTTGCCGCTGCTCTCTCTTCGAGCCGCGCGGCTTCCGCGCCCGCACGGCGCCGCATCCAGCCTCGGTGCTGTGCTCCCGCCGCGGGAAGGAATAACACCCGCACAGAGCTGCCGCTCCCACGCGGCGCTGCCCCGGCATCGCTCCTGCACGGGAAAGAATACAGGCAGCTTGGAGAAGCAAGCAAAGAGTTCTTCCTTTTTCCTTTGCTCCAGTCCTTAGACGTGGGTCCACATTTATCAGCCGCTCCCGGCGGTCCGGGACCTTAGCCAGTGGCCGAACCGCGATCCTGCCTGCCGGTGGCACCGGCAGGGCACGGCCGCTCCTGGCGTGCGTGCTGAAAGCAAAAGGAGGTCGGGGTGTGCAGCTGACCGACGCCACCGTCCCTCCTGCAACCAGGATGCAACGTCAGAAAGCCTCTGCAAAATGATGGCCACTGCTGGGTTCTGCAGGAAAAGTTCTTGCCTCTCACATTACCTTTCTTGGGTGTAAGATTCTAAGCGGGTGATAGAGAGCTTGTGATCAGAAAGGAAGAGAGTTCACAAATGATACTGTTCTTCAGGAGCATCTCTGTTCCAGGTTAGCTATGGTAGCAGTGTTATGCCTCCAGGTTTATTTGTTCACACATCCTTGTACAGTTTTCTTATTAACTTTAATGGTAAATTAAGCCCAAGCCCATAACTGCTGATGTTTTCTTCAAAATCTTGGAGTTTGCTTTGGTTTTGTGCTGGGAGGAGAAATTAAACAAGTTGTCCAAAACTTGATGCAAGGACATGCATTGAAACATGTCCTTTCCATGTGGTAATAAATGCATATGGGGCAGGGAATGAAAACACAAACTTCTTGTGCTAACTGCACATTGGGAAAGGTGCTACACAAGTTTAATGGTAACAGATACCATTAAACTGGAAGCCTTCGTGAAAGTCTACAGCAAATGTGCTGTAAGAGCTATCACTGATTCTTCAGTTTTATCCCCATTTTCTAGGTGACTTTCTAAGTGGAAACAGGTGTTCAAGGCTCTAAATTGTGCCCTCCAACAGCTGTCCCAAAAGCTCTTGTGGCTCTTTGTGAAAGCAGTTACTTTACAAAAGCATCCATAAGAATTCACTACAAACTTACAAGACAAAGTAGAGCCTTTTAGATCTGCTTTTATTTGCTTCCTTGAAGGAATACAGACATCCAGTTGCTCCTTTTGCCCTTTCCCTCCAGGCAGCAAAGGAGGATCAGGGTGGGAGGTTTTCTGTCTTTGCAGAAAACTATTCTTTCTCTAATCATAACTGTATGTCCCCATTAGAGAAGTCACCAAGTGCTGTCTTACAGTATAGCCTGGGTATGGGGCTTATTGTCCTAAACTTCAGTTCAGTCAAACCATTTTCCTCCAGAGAAGCAGTCTCAGATCTTACAGATCAGGTCTTGCACAGCTCCAACTGAAGTGAGTACTGCTTGCAAGACTGGGTTTGTAAATTATAAATCCACTTCAGAATTCTTCAGGATAAGAAATCCAGTAAGTAAAACCTATATGTATAATTTTCTGCTCAGGCAATGTGTTATGAACAGCCAAACTTCCCATCTGCCTAGAAAGTGAACTTCTAGTTAGATCAAGAAATCCACAAAATGTTAAAATGGCTGCTCGTTAAGGAGAGAAATGAGCTTAAGTCTTGTTTTGTCCACAAATGTTGATGTGTATTAATGAGCTGAACCAGTGCCATAATCCAGTGCTGAGCCTTGTCCCTTGAATGGGTAAGCAGCATTCTGATGAAATGCAGGTGTTTGTGCTTTACACTGTATTTTAAGTGTCACAGGTGAAAAAAAGATTTAAAAAGAGCAGATACTTACTAAGTATAAACAGGCAATGGTTTATGGTGGAGATGTTGTTCTTCACATGCATTCAGAGTTAATCTATAGATTCTTCACTCCTCAAAAAACCAAGGACTATCTGCTGCCTTCACAATAAGCTCCTTCAGGTAGGAAACTTCAGTACCAAGAGAAGGAGATTTTCCTATTGCAAGACAGAGGATATCATTATTGTACCTACATTTCTCTTCTTATCAGTTCTTTGAGTTGTTCACTTACCTGCAGTAGAACATTTAGTCCTGAAACACATGAATGGCCTTTTCCTACAGTACTTGTTTTAACTGAGCACAATAAAAATGTCACATTTCATAAAAACCTGTGGATTTTGCAGAGGATCCCAAGTAGCTGTGACACAAAAGAATTTAAAGCAGCAAATCCCATTTATGGCAGTGCTGTTAAGTGAGTATGGAAATCTTGGAGACTATCCCAAGGCTTTTCTTAGAGAGGAGGAGGGAACATAATAAAGCTGTTTTCCATGTAGCTGTCGTTGATGAGTATCCCTAGACAAGGAAACAGTATTGTCAGTAGGCAAAGGACTGCATTCATTGCTCCTGTGGATTTGATTGGCATGCAGCTATGCTACACAGTAATTAAAAATTGGCAAAGATCTGCATTACCCAGCTTCTGTTGAGTTGTGCTTGTGCTTTAGCTCTATAGTTACTCGGAGCTTCATACACAGTTCAGAAAACGCTAGCGAAGCTGGGTTTGTCCTTTTTGCTATGTCTAAAGTAATGCAATGCCACTTGCTCCAGCCCTTGAGCTGCTGAGCAGACCTGGGGCAGCTCAGATTTTGCAATGTTTGTAACGTTGGTCCTGCAGGGAGCTCTTCACCAAACATTCTTGGTTTTGAATCCTGGCCCAAGAATGTCAGAGCACGACACACAGTCGGTGTGCTTGGCTATACATAGCAGCAGCCTGTTTACAGCAAGGCAGGGTTAAAATTAGGTGTGTGGGAAGGCACAGACCAAGCTCCTGGTACCCACTCTCTGCTGCCATATGTGCCTCACCTCTTGGCTGTGCAGTTTTTCTGGCCAGTGGCTGAGCACCAGAAATCACTGGAGGCTGCTTTGCAGCCTGCTTGGGTGTAGGTTCTTGACACATATGCAGCTTATTCCTGTGGCTAAAGTGTTTGCACAATTAGAGGAGTGTACTTTTAAATCACTAACCTGTGAATTCCTTCCTTACAGGAGACATTCCAAGGGTCAGCTGGGGCTTTGTACATGCACTGGATTCAGACTGTTCCTTGAAACTCAGAACCTTTGTGTTGCTGCAGTTGGATAAGAGCTGATGGTCACTGTGGCTCTATACATGCTGCACAGAAATTGGACACAGCCTTGGTTCTGTGTCTGCTTGTCCTGCCTGACCAGGAGCTTGCATCCTTGAAACAATGTTGGCTTGTGCAAATGTGAGCAATGCTTAGGCCTGGCTCAGGATGGTGCAAGGCAGGGACTGTTCTAAACAAGCAAGGCTGTGCTGATTTGGAAGGAAAAGGCCATTGTCATGAGGTAGCAATACCATTATTGCAGGGGGGCACCAGGGATGAGGAGTGATAAAAGATAAAGTAGCAGAAACCTGGAAAAGCAAAGGGATCCTTGCCTGCCTTCCTGGATCTGGACTCAGTAAAATTAGAAGCTCAGCAGATGTCAAAAAGCTTAAGAGAATTTTAGTTTCTTGGAATTGTGATTCTTCTAATTAAAATAAAGAGGAGAACAGCAAGGTAAAAACTCAGGGAACATATTTTTATGGAGAAGAGGAGGAGAGAGAACAAATATGTCTCCTCCTTGGAACAGAGCACACATTACAAAAACACTGTCATGAGGGGTTGTATTTAGTCAAGAAATTACAGCTAGTGATTGAAGTGAGATTTAGTCCTGTTTCAGACAAAAAAACTCCTCTATGTTTTAAATGTAGTAGCTACCAAAATTGCCAAAATGGTAGAATTTCAAAAAGAATTTACAAACCAGGATGCCATTAAGGAGATGGCTTGTGAATTCCACAAAATGTAACTACATTGATGCTAATCTCATGGTGGCATGAATGTGCCAAATTCCTAAAAAATGGTATTCCTATCCAAAGAGCATAAAAGTAGACCCTGTTCTGGAAGGGGAAAGTGCCAAGTAATCACTTTGTTGCATCTCTGAGAATTACCTCACACAGGAGCCGTTATTTTAAATGCAGGCACCATTATAATGAAGCACTCAGAGCGTTCCAGTCCAAGAAGGAGTTTACGAGAAACAAACATCCCACGGAAAGCTCTACGGGGGACTCTCTTTCTTGCCAGCAACCAGGTTTGTTCGTGACTGTAAACATGATGCTGTGTTTAGCATTAAAAACTCTACAGCTTTACCAGATTAGTAGTGAGAAAACTGAACATAGTAGCTGGTGAGTTTTGAGGGTTGGAGCTGCGTGCCAAAACCAAGCCATGCCAAATGCCAATGTAACTGCTGGGGCAGTTGTTCTGTAATAGCTCCCACACAGATAAGAGACCCTGGAGTTGTATTAATTCTTGATTTTATAAGTGACTCTTTAGCTCTGTCGTTGTGGCCACATTGTGGCCCTGCTTGTTTTGCAAAGCACAGAATACGTTAATAAAAAATGTAAAAAATACAGAAACTGCTTAGAATTCTACTTCTAGTGTTAGACAGTGGACAAAGTGTATGGATAGCACAGTAGTGATACTGCCATGTTGATGTTTGCTGGCCAGAAAAGCTCCTGTTGGCAGTAGAGGCACAGCTGAAAACAATGTCTGTTTTCAGTTCCCTATGCAATCATCTTCCCTACCCTATGGCTTGCCAGGATGCTGCCGGATTTCTGATACATTGCCTTTTTCCTCTAGTGTTGTAGCATCTCTTGGACATGAATAATACAGTTGTTCCTGGTTGTTGAGGAGTTGTATCTTTGCAGTTGGTGGAGGAAAGAAGTCATACTTTTGACACATCATCACTGGAATGTTTCTTACACTCTGAATCTCTCCTTTAAGGTGTTTGTAGAAGACTTGCAGATGTGCTAACCATCAAATGAGTGTAAAGTGAAGGCAAACCTCCATCTTTCCCCTTGATTTCACATGAATACAAGGCTGTGAAACTATCTGGTCAATGTACAACGCTCAGGTGGAATAATGATGAGTGCTATGGAAGAAGTTTGAGGAAAAGAGTTCTGTGCTGGGGCTTAGGCAGGGAACAGCAAATAAGAAATAGAGACAATAAAGAGCAGCAGGGCAGGATGGTGTGGAGTAGCCAGGTTCAAGCAAGTCTAATCTTTGTGCTAAAGTATTTCTCTTTATTTGCTTCTTCCACTTTTTGGATTGCTTGAGTAGAGTAAAAATTCTCCTTTAACTGTGTACAGATAATATTCAATATGCTTTGAATGATGATGAGGTAGGTGATAAAGTAGTTGTGACCAGACACACAAAAACCTAAACTGCATTTTTCTTGCAACCTTCTGAAAAAAAGCCTGTAGTAAAGGTAAATGATTTAAAAAATAAATTAAAATCTAAAGTGATGAGTTAAAACTGATTTTAAGTATAAACTTCCTAGAAGACTGAGAAAGGATAAGACATCTGTTATTTCCTTTTGTCTTTCCAGTTCTACCAGAATTAAAGCTGCTCTGTGGGGCTGATTTTCTACAGACATTTAAGACACCCAATCTCTGGAAGGAAGAAGACATCAAAGAAATAGTGGGAAAGTTCGGTTTGGTCTGCATTAGCCGGGCTGGCTCTGATCCAACGCAGTTCATCCAGGAATCAGACCTTCTATCTAAATTTCAGCACAATATTTTTCTAGTGAGAGAGTGGATCCAGAATGAAGTCAGTGCGACGCAGATCCGCTCTGCCCTGTGCAGAGGGCTGAGTGTGAAATATCTCATCCCAGACTCTGTCATTGCCTACATTGCACAGCACAACGTCTACACAGTGGAGAGCGAGCGCAGGAACGAGGGGCACCTGCTACAGCCTCTCAGGCTGCAAAACACAGCAATAAACCCTCTGAGGGACTGATTTCTGCACTGTGTACCGTGTCAGACCAGGACCCTTGTCATGCAGATTTCTTGTGAAAGTTGTTTCTTGTTAATAACAAAGGGAAAATCCAAAATTTTTTGAAATCATATGATGTTTTAAATCCATGAATCTGTGTGTGGTAGTGTTCAAGAAAATTGGGATGCTCAGCTGTGTAGCTTAAAATACACAAAGAACATCTTTGTGAAAATAAAAGCAAGGAGATCTTCACAATAAATATTCTTAGTATTTCAATACTTTCAGTAAATCAGTAAATATGAGTTAAGGGTCAAATATAGTGCTTTCCTAATTTCTAATTCTGTAATCCTTACTGTTCTAAACCAGCAAAATACAATGAACCATAACTTGAGAGAGAGAGATATGTTTAAATTTATATTACTTCTAAACTTTGACTTTATAAGTCCCTGAATAACTTTTTTGATTTTTGGTGATTTGGCCAAGACTTGGAAATCAATCTTGCTTTCTTGCAAGCACTTAAAAATGCACGTGCTACTTCTGCCGCTTCTAAGGCTTCGGGTTCTCAAATGACAGACAGCCCTCATCCTCACATTTAAAGCAGTGTCTTGGTTTGAACAGACAGGTGTCTGCTAAGGAAGGCAGGAGCCTCTCTTGGAATGGAAAATGTAAACCCCCTCCCTCTGAATTATTATAATTTTGAAATTAAGAGGCTCTCAGGCAAAGATAGGAGGATAGGAATAACAGTATGTATAAATAATAAATTAACCCCCCCCCCAAAAAAAAAAAAAAAACAACCCACAAACCTACAACTTAATAGGGAAATGAAAATAAAGGGTAGTAGTACGAAAACATTGACCAAGTCAGAATCTGACCTGACAGCCTGTGTGTCAGGGTGGTGGCACAGTCCCATCCCATGGGGGCTCAGCCCTCCTGCAGTGCCAGCTGTGGTTCTGCTGGAGCAGGGATCCTGCACAAGGCTGCAGTTTTCCTCTGGAGCTCCAGGGCTGCTGTGGATGGGTCTGCTCTTCCTCTGGGAATGCAGGGCAGGAGAAAGCTGCTCCTCTGGGAATGCAGTGGGCAAAGGCTGCTGTGCTGTTCCAGGCTCAGATTGTATCCAGGTAGGAATGCCTGGCTCCTGCCCTGGGCGGAGCATCTCCCCATGCAGGGACACTCAGTGGCCATGGACAGCAGAGATCTGCTGGAGGGAGGATTGGCTGTGGGAGAGATAAAGAAAACTGCCCACCTGGTTTTAATAGATGGTGATGGAATACACACTTCTGGTTACATCTCGCATTGCAACCTAAGATGAGTGGGTTTCTTCTCTGTTACAGAGTCTTCTCAAGAGCAAGCAATTGCCAAAGGCCCAGAGTAAATAAAATATCCAGTAGGGGCTTCAGTTGTACCATATGCAAACATCTGAGAGGCTCAGTACTTGAGCTCTGATGTTAGTGGGGAAAATCCGTGCTCCTCTCTGCTGGTTGCCTGTTACGCTGATTGAGCGTCTCTCATTTCTGACAGGAGTCACTTTCAGAGAATACAGAACTCTATAATAAAGTGCTCCCTCTGTGTTTCAGAGCTCCTCAACTGAAAGCATTCATGCAGCAGTGATGTAGCATTTATCACTGTACAGAATAACCACTGCTTCCAAGTACAAGTTTCCACCTTATTGGTCCTTCTGAGCCCCTACCTGGCCAAGAAGCTTCCACTTGTGGTTCTTTAGGATTCAGGAGCTTGTGGAACAAGTTAAAGGAATACCAGACACTAACGGCTTTGACTGAAAGGGTCTGTATGATTGTTTTCTTGAACGAAAGCATAAAGTAGCTGAAACCTATTCAAGAAAGAAGAATTTGGCTCAAAAAAAGACACAAGATAAGCACTTTTATAGCTTTGGCTAATATCCTAAACTAAAGCTATTTGAAAGGGTTGTTTTTTTTTTTTTCTGAGTGGCATGAAGAATGAACAGTAATATGGTTAAAACGGATTTCCCTTACACAAGTGATATGAAAGGTGAATATTTCATTCATTTTAAATCAAGTCATCCTGCTGTCATTAGAAACCCTCAGAGGTTCAGCCTGGTAGAAGGATTTAAAGGCAGCACTTCAACAATAATCGGATTAGAAGGACTTGCATAGCTCCATGGTCTAAAAAAGAGATAAAAGAAACCAGAGCTCAAGCTTGCCACAAAGCAAGGCAGTGAGTTGTGTGGTGCAGAATCAACCCACAGTTCTGAGCCAGTGATTTTGACAGTCACCTGAAGCAGGGATGCCTGCAGACTTCAATGGCTATTGGAAAATGGTCAGCAATGACAATTTTGAGGAGTATCTGAAAGCACTGGGTAAGGTTCCCTTCAAACTTCTTGAATGAATAATCAATGCCACCTGTCTTATTCTTTACGTGAATCTACTTTTTCTTGTACAGTCATAAGTCTTTGTTGTGAGAAGTTTGGGTTTTTTTCAGAAATGCACTTTAAGGATTGCCTTAAGCAAAATTGTTTTGCCTTAAGCAGCCTCTACTTTTTGCCATCTTGAAGCTTACATTAACAGACATTAAACTACATAGCTTGAAGAGGTATCTGGTGGATTCCAAACATAAAAAATCTCCTACAATTTGAAAAGCAGTGAAATTTTTATATTTAATAAAGATTCAATGTAGTACTTAATGCAATTTTTTGTGTTTGTACTTGATGTTGTGTTAGTATCTCTATAGAAATATTGGAGGCCTTATTAACTGTCAAATACAAATGGTACTTTTTATAGACTTCACATAACCTGAAAATTGAAACATTAAGTTATTTTAGTTATAAAAATTAGATTACATCCTTTTTCTGGTTTGAAAGATTTGGACATCTATTTATCCTTGTTCATTTTAGCTCTCTCTAGAAGCGACAAGCTTCTTCTTGTGGAAAACTTTCCTGGATAAAAATAACTCTTTTTCTTTTTCAGATGTAAATGTTGCTGTAAGAAAAATAGCAAACTTGCTAAAGCCTGACAAAGAAATCCTTCAGAATGGGGATCATATGATCATTAAAACGCTGAGCACTTTTAGAAACTACATCATGGAATTTGATGTAGGGAAGGAGTTTGAGGAGGATTTATCTGGGGTGGATAATCGCAAGTGCATGGTAAGAAGTAGAACTTCAGCACTGGATAAAATGAATATTGATAACCTGAGGTCTTTCACAGAACATGTCTTTTAACCATCCAGGTGGCTATTCCTGAAATTATTTCTATATTTCTCCGTTTGCCAAGAGGTACCTACAGTTTTGAGCATGCCTTTAGATTAGAGGAATGCTAATTTTAATCAGGAGCACAAAGCAATTTTATCAATCAATGAATAATAACCTCAGTGAAACTGTGCTCATTTATACTGGGATATTTGCTAGTCAAAGAGACATCTAGGGTCACTTTCAGAACCTCTTTAATGAGTAAGGTTTTACAGGAGAGGAAATCCACTGATTGCAAGGTCAGGCACTGCTCCTGTGTGAGAATGGCCAAGTGCTTTAAGATCGCCTGGCTGTTCTTATTAGAGTACACACTTAATTAGCCCACTGGAACAAATCTTACTGAAATGAATAAGCAAACACTGAGGACTTTGTTTTGCAATAGCTCTCTTTTATGAGATCTTTCTGCTTTTTAATTTAGGACTGATAAAGATCAATTTACAGAGGAAAAACTTCAGAATAGCAAGTTATCACCAATTAGTTTGGCAGCATGAATGACACTGGCAATATTCTACAGTTAGGAAGTTGACAAATAAAAGAAAATTATCTCAGGAGGGACTCTAGAGGAGAAATCTCATAAAAGAGAATTAATAGGTTTACATTCTGGGAAAGATAGTGCCATTTAAAACAAATACTTTTCTCTCACACTAAGATTTGCAAATTTGCTTTTGCTCTGATCATGGCAGGAAAAATTGTGAGAACCAGAGAAAAAAGAACAGTTAGCTACTGAGTGCCCCAGCAAATCCTTCTGTGGTCCTTGTTCCAGAGGGTACAAGTTTGATGAGAGTGCAGAATCCACCATTCATGGGAGGGAGGAGCAGCTGCATTTGTGTATAGGAAAGTGCCCCAATGGTATCTTGTGATTTTGGCTCCTGGAATGCTCTTAGTTAGGATACTGAGGTCCAGATTCACTGAACAGTTGAGCCCAAGAAAAGATTTAAGACTGAGGTGATTAAATTACCATCAAAGGTAGCAATGTTCAAAACATCTGCTCCAAAGGTTTGTATGTGCACAGAACTGTCCATGTGTAAGCACTGCCTGTACTTGAATACCATTAATTTCCATCTGAAGGAGAACTAAACCATCCTCTGCATGTTGGAAAGAAGTAATAATTTATTATTTTTAACAAACCAAAATTCTCTACCCTATTTTGCTAAATGGAGTGATAAGGGAAGGATTCAAAATGTTAAACCAGAAAGAAGAAACTAGAGAGAGTGAATTTCAGTCACTACAACAGCTGATTGATTTGGCATAGAAGCTAGTTCAGCCTACGTTCAAAGGTTACTCAAACATTTCTCTGTTTACTGTTTAGTGGGAAATGCTTATTCAGCCTTGGAAGCAGAAGGTAGCAGCAGCTTCCTGCCTGTTACAAACAAACAGACAAAAACCCCAAACAACCAGGGGTAGTCGCTGTCTCTGACTGGGGTTTTTTAAAAAGGACTTAGGGATGTAATTCCACAAAACCTGCCAGAGACCTCCGTGTCTCTCTGTGCTCTCCAGCTGTAGCTGGACAGTCCTGGTCACTGACCACTGGTGCTCCATTTGCCTTGTAGCAGCACATCACATTTATAGTTCAATTTTCTTATTGAAGACTTCTTTTCTACAAGAGACCTCTGTTTTATCAATGACAAAACAGTACAAGAAGCTGTCTTGCTGAAGTGACTTCAGTCCAAATCTGATAACCATGTCAGGTAAAATTTGCAGTTGTTAAGCAGCAAAATGACTCCAACAGTGCAGAAGGAGTCTTGTGAGAGAAGAGTCATGGAGCTTATGAGAGATACTGGACCACTCCCTGTGTGGTGTTACAAAGAAAACCACCATAAAAGCAAATGTTAAATATCATTCTTGGTGTTCCATTTGTTAATGTAGAGCCTGTGGAACTGCATGCCATAAAAGGCTTAATCATTAATAGTCAGCCTGTGTAATGGGAAGGGTTGTGAATCAATTATTGTTATTTATATTGTGGACTGAGCAGACCACTGGGCAAGTTTTATCCAAGGAGCTCAATATATGAGCAGTACAAAGTAACATGGATAAGACAAATTACACATTAAACATTAATCTATACAGCAGAACAATCATCAGGAGACTAACACAAATAACCTTAGAATTAATCCTTCCTAGACGTATAGATTGTTTTTTCTTTTAATGAAGAATATATCATCTAGGTAAAGTTAACATATCTGTAAAAATAATATCAGCATGGTGGACAGGTTAGATCCTGCGTGTAATTCACTGAAATTGTGTTCACCTTTCAGTTGTAAAACTTATCCTTGAGCCAGTCAGGGTAGAGTGTAACTACAGTAATTCCAAATCAATGCTGTCCATGAGGAGGAAATGCTAAAAAGTTTTGCAGATACTTATTTTCAATGTTGGAGTTTTGACATTAGGAACTTGATAGTCTTGTGATAGTACAAGCCTTCTCCTCCTTTGCAGTTAGGGTTTTTTTCATTTTTATAGTTGGTCACTCCTGGGAGCCTGTCTGAACTTCCTTCATCGGGGAGTTCTTTGAGAAGGATAAACCTTTGCAATTTCAGTTTGTCCTTCTTCTGACCTGGCTTTCTTGCATGCACATGTTTTTGGGTGGAGGGATATAGGGAACAGCAGCTGGTGACATCAGCTCCTTTAGGATGTTGTTTCTGTTGGGAAGTGAAAATTTGTGACTTTGGAATCTCTAAAGCCCTGCAGTTTAGTTAAAGATGCAGTTTCTGTGTTCTGCAAAAGCAAAGATGGTGATAGTTGATCACAGGAGAGATCACAAATGACAGTCGGTATCAATACTCCTCAGGCTTGCCACCCAGGATTGGATCTTCTGGATAAAAGTCAAATCTGTTCACTTGGCAATTTTGTGAAAGAGATCTTTCTGCAGATTCAGTCATACTTTACTATCAAGGGTTGTTAAAAATGTGGCAGCTTCAAGTACAAACGTAAAATGAAAGTTCAGGAGCATCTTTCATTCCTTGCAAATGTTCCAGGGTGTACATTAGATGGTGTAGAAGGAAGTTTAGAACATTAATTTGTGTTACATTTTTTCTCACATGATGTGAATTAGAGCATGTAGTCAAGTTTTTACTGCTTTGAAGAGTTTGTTCATAGTTTTAATTGGCAACATATAATCAGATTGAGAATGTACCAAGACAGAAATTTAAAGTTAAATGGAGAGCTCTGGCTTTGGTATTTTTCACACTGAGTCTTTGATCCTGCTGTCTGAATTCTAAGTGAAGCTCCAGTCTCATCATGAAATCTCAATTTTAAAGAGAATTTCTACAATCTCAAGTTGTGATTAATTTAGCATCTCAGGTGTTGCTCTGAGTATGAAACTTTGTTTCATGCATATAAGCATTACTTTGAAAAAAAATGCACTGTGCATGCAAGAGGAAGACCCTATTGAAACAATCCAAAACCAGCCAATACTCTGAAAGTATCTCTCATTTATCAGCAGATAGTTGTGCTTCCCTTTTCCACTGTCAGTGATAACCAGTGAAGCTAGTGAAACACCTACAGTGTGAAATGTGTACCAGCACATAGGAACAAGGCACATAAGCCTTCTGTACCTTCACAGTGTAATTTACTTAGTGTTTTTATTAAAGAAATTATGAAAAAGTTAACTGAAAAACCTTGAAATGCTGAAACTGGGGGCTGAAGTTTCACATTGCAAGTCTTTGCATCCAATGAATCAAAGCAGATTGAAAATTGGATAGCTCAGATGCAAAAATTACTTTCTTAAAATTTGTTTTGTTTTCTAATGATTCTGCTGCTAAAGTCAGAGAAAACTTTTGCATTATAATTATTCTCTGCTGTTCAGGCATTTGAAAGACTGAATTGCTTTATCTTACGCTACGCAAAATTAATCTCTTTTGACAGAGACTAAGGGCAAGTGATGTGTTAAAAATCAAGAAAGATTTGATATTCTAAATATAGAAGAGCAGAATTTCTTGGATAACTGAGAAGAGTTGTGTTATAACTGAGTATTTGTCCAAGCATATGAGAGGTGCTTTGGTAACTCAGAACCTTGTGCTCTGATACAGTAATTTTCTTCTTCCATTGAAGCAGGAAATGAAATTACAAAGTCAGGGAACTGGGAAACAGAGAAAACTGCAAGAATTTTAAACTGAATGTGGGAAATAATACATCTTAACCATTTAGCTATCTGAACCTGAATAAAGTGGGGTATAACCATGAATAAGTTATCAGGTGGGTGTTTCAGTTTTCTTTATTGGAACTAACAGAACTTCTAGTCCTAGTTAAAACTTGCTGGGGTGGGGAAGGGTGAGGACGATTTGGGACTTGTGGAATTCCCACATCAGCTCTAGAATACATCTTGCCATGTGAAGTGTCAGTTAGTGTTTGAAACAGCCACACGCGGACTGTTCACAGACACCTGACTGTGCCATGTCCTCCTGAAGGGAGGGAAGTTGTTCAAAACTGATCATGGCTCTGCTTTAATTAACAAACATACCTAATGTGACACTGATTTCTCTCAGGTTTGTATTCAGGAAAACTGCAATGGAGGTAGTTGTTCTGGCCGTAATTTGATTCATACCACTGCAAGGTCAGAATAAAGCCCTATTACAAAATCACATGGTTTGTGAAGCTTATTTAACTATTTAGGCAGGTTCCTCTGTTACACAAATGGAACTCTGGAAGCTGTTAATCTAGTTCTGAGCAGGCTTGGGAATTAAGATTTTGCTGCCAGAAAAACAACAACCAACAAACAACATTCCAGTACATGGAATTGCAGGAGGGATCTCCCACATGGTGAGAAAATTCCTAATAAATAGTGCCTGTCTAGTAAGATGCAAGATCAGCAATATGTCTTTACTCAGTCCCTCTGATTTAGCTGTTTTATTTCTTTACCCTTTCAGTGCTGCCCTTCTGGGCTTGTAAGTATTTTCTCATAT